CAAGGGCTTGATAAAATATATTTATATATTTTGTCATGCTCTTGACTTGACCATGACTATGTGACCCACCTGGATCCGCCCTTGCCTAGTTCAATGTGCTAAAAATGTTTTAAAACCGAAATTTAAAAGTAATATTTTGTGTCTAAAATCAAGAAATTGTACTTATCTTTTAGAATAAACGAGAAAGAAATCTCAAATCCACAATAAATGAAACCTGTAATGTTTTAATTACCTTTCATTATAAATATTTTAAGCGTTGAAATGTATTCAATTAAAAATATTGCATGGATATTTGATTATCCCAAAAAGCTTACGTAAGCCCTCACGTGGTCCTTCGCATGTTATAAGTCGCATCACGGACAAACCGACCCTCATATACAGCTCTATTGACAGAAATAATATTCTACGGAGTTTCGCTACGGCTAGAGGATCGACAGGACAGAGTAATGCACAGTGTAGCTATACGACAGAGATACCTGTAATTTTATTAGTGCGGCTAGCTGTTATTTAGGCCTTCGCTTCACAGACCACAATGAAACTTACAAAACAAAACTTATTACTTATGTTCTAATTTTCTTATTTACTTATCTATACTAATATTATAAAGAGGAAAACTTTGTTTGATTGTAATAAAATAACTCAAAAACTACTCGGCCAATTACAAAAAATATTTCACCATTTAAAAGCTACGCTGTCAGTAACATAGGCTATGATTTATATTATTTTTTAACTTCACGCACTTTGAGTCGCAGGCGAAAGCTAGTATATAATAAAATTAGAGTCTCTGTTGTAAATTGGTCTGTGCTAGGGTTATGAAAGTGTGTCCCCGCATTGCATTAGTGTAGCGCAGGCGGGGGCGGTGGGAGTGCTGTTTTGAATCATTAATGTCCGTCCGTTTATTTTCATTTTGGACCGATATTTATGTATCGGAGGCGATCGCTCATTAATGCCGTAGCTGACGAGAGGCAACGTTTATTCATCGTTTTAATATTGCCAACGCTATTTGAATTTCATCGAGTGAACATAAAGCAAGAGCTTTTTGTTTTTGTACTCTGTTGTAGATTTATTTGCTTTTCATGTCTGAATGAGTTTCAATGGCGGAATTTTTTTTGTTTTGTTTTGATAAATTTTTATAATTGAGTGTTTAAATTAAATGAAAACGTTCCAACCTTCATTTTAAGTGTTATTGGTATTTGTAGATGACCAAATTTTTTTGCGTTGGTGTGGATGTCGAATAGAGGTTTAATTTTTATCTTTTGCTTTACTAAGTTTTTGATTTCGTAAAATTGGTCCGTATCGATTTTATTTTATTGTAAGCAAGGTTTTTGTCCTGTAAGAAGACAAGTGGGTTCTTTCTTTCTGTGTGTTTACAGTCAAAACCTGCCTGGAAAAGCATTGCTATCCCTTTTGTTCATTAAAATAATAAGAGAGATGGCGTATGTGTTTCGGTTACATCACAATGTTAAGTTAATCTTGTTACCCGTAGTATTTTTTTTCTATAAGAAAACTTTACATTTTTATAGCAACCCCTTTTAAGTCACGCGAACTGTGTGAAGTACGGTACGTAGATTTATCTTTTTATACGAAAACTTGTGACGTAACGAGGGACGGACTGGTCGCGAATGTAAAGTGTTCTCGACCGCGGAGGGTTTTAAATATGCTGTAAAAATATTTTTTTTTATGTATTAAACGTCTTGGTAGACTATGTTTGAGTTTTCTCTTAGTTTAAATAATGACAATTATTGTCTATACTAATGTAATAAAGTTATAAGTTATCTGTTTTTGTATGTAACGAATAAGCTGAAAAGGTTTTGGACCGATTTCCAAAAATTATATGCAGTTAGAAAGCTTTATCACTGAGTATTATAGGTTATATTTATTGCTCGAAGTTGCGGGTTTTACAAGATCAGGTAATTTACCCGCATCGTTTATAAATCATCATCTTCCTCGTCATCCTACTCTCGTAGGGTCGGGGTAACAGGTTTTACTCCTTCACATAGCTCTTATCATCCGTCATCTCAGTCATCACTCCCTTCTTGATCATGCCACCTTGCACGCAATCCATCTGTTTCTAGGTTATACATCGCAATGTTTATATCTTACTTCTTACTAATATTATAAATGTGAAAGATTAGATGGATGGATGGATGGATGGATGGATGTATGTTTGTTATAGTTTGTAGCCTAAACGGCTGTACGGATTTCGATGAAATTTGACATAGATGTAGAAGATAGTCTGGAATAACACATAGGCTATTCACTTTTGTTTTTTTCAATTCCACATGGACGGAGTCGCGGGCGAAAGCTAGTATCTACATAAATAGTTTAATTGAAATGGTTTAAACGAAAAGGGTGGACACCGCTTTAATTCTAATCGAGACGTACTCATCCATATTAATTAATAATCCCTTTATTGTGTTACCTGCACCCCTATGATGGGGTGGATCCTTGCATGCAAATCCTCTATAGCTCTATAGTTATGACCTATCGGATTGTACGCACCGACGGACAAACGGATCGATAGATCTACGCAGCGTGTCCTGTCCGATTCTAATTGCCGGGCTTTGACCGACAGCTCACATAACACTCTGTACATCGTTTTAACGCCAAAGGAATTATATTGCCAACCCACATACAATAAACTGTCGCCAAAGAATTTATATTTATTGAGTGACAAACTTTCTGGTGTATTGAGATAGTAAATAGTTTACAAACGAGCGAAGCGACCGCTGTCCATAGACATCCGCATTTGCAGATGCGTTGCCTCACTTTGATCAGCAAATAATGGATGTTTCCCTTATAAATGCGTCCCATCCCCCACCAACTTCATTGCCTCTGTCCTCTGTTCATTCTTCTCATGTACATAAAAGGAGGAAAAGGGAAGTGGACTAAAATCAGTCAGGGAATTAGTTAAGCATTAGAAAATGACACAGATGATAAGACATACGCTAATTATAATAAAAAGCTATAATTAATATCTATTTTACCCACTGGGTTATATTTGTCCTACTGTATGTTGCTATGACAAGTTTTTATTTAAACATTATGAATCAAATACCGAAATGGGCAGGAAATTAATGACCTCGACTGCAAAGTTATACAGGCTGTTGTTTTACAATATCGGCATGTAGCAGTGTTTGTGCAAGTTATATTCGATTTACATTTGTTTGTAGTCTGATTGATTTATAAGGCCTGTTACATGAACGATGAAAGGGGCGATGTTTAAATCATATTTTATATATATGGTGGATTTATTGCCTTGTATATGTGTATGGTAATGTACGATGAGTGTATGAGAGTGAATGTTGAATGGAATTGCTTTGGTATAATGGGTAATGTGATTTTTAAGATATTTAAAAGAAGTAGTAGTACTTGTTTTTTGGTATTGTTATCGACATTTTTAACGAACCATTACAGTAATTCACTGAGTATTTTTTTAAGTATTGGTAGACCTAGAAAGAGATGGATGAATTGCGTGAAAGGTGATTATCAAGAAGGGAATGATGACTGAGATGACGGATGATAGTTATTTGGAAGACGAAAACCCCGGTGCGCCGCCGAGAGTAGGATAAAGTAGGGGAGATGATGACTGAGTATTTTTTAATGATTTGTTAAAACCCAAACTGGTTAGATTCTTGATGTTTTGCAGGTTACATTTAACTATGCACAATGTTACTATGTTTTATAATGTGAAGCTTCACGAAAAGACTAATAAGGTACTAAATAAAACCAGCATCTTTTACATATCGAAGATACTATTTATATAAGGTTTACGAACGTCTACTGCCCCTTTTAACTGGTCTGTCTAACTCATAGAAGATCTGCCTTGTGCCCTCGTTCCTTCAACCTTGCACCTGCAACCGCTCAATAGACACATCATTTCTATTCTGTTGTATTCTGCAATTACATTTCTGCTCAGGCTTTAACAATACATTTTTGCATAACTGTTTCTTCAGTGAAAAGTCTCTGTTTCCAAATGTAGTTTGCAACTTTAACCCTATAACCCGCAGATCGTTCTGTAGATTGTTGTTGAGAATCGTAACTTGCGTTAAGCTATCGTTTTACATATGAACTACAGGTCACTTACTGAATACATATTATCTTAAATTGGTTAACCATAGAGGTAAAATACGAGGTTGTTAAACGAGGACTAGGTTTTATGCATATGGTGTGCTGTCTACAGTTCCAAACTTTACGTTTAACGCCTTACAAATAAACGCGGTATAAGCAAAATTTGTACTAATGTTTGCTTGTACTCGGTTTATTTCTAAGTTTATCTTTATAACGCGTTTATTTGTAGGGCTGTAAGATTATGTTTGATTTGCGATCAATACAGACATGTGAAAGAGTTTATATTACAAGTTGTGTAACTTTAAGATGGGTTTTAACAGCTCAAACAGTCATATTTTTATGACCAACAAGGGTTTTTGGAATCTATACTGTTCCAATGGAATACATCATTAGCGTCAGAGACAGTACAGCCGAAGATGGGTCTGGGCCTGGTCCAAAAAATTTCTCCATATCAGTCTATTTTGGGGTTTTTGTTTCCAGCCAGTTTGATATTTTTAACATCTCGTCTATTACGTTTACGCGCGAGTTTACGAAGTTTTTATAAATGTTGTTTTTTTGACCTGAATTGAGTTTTAGTGTTGATGTTATTATTGTGTTGTTTCAGTGTGGAGGTGATGGAGAAGGCGAAGGCGTACATTAAGAGCTCGCTGGGCGGCAAGGCGTCGCCGGCGCGCGAGCCGGACGCCGCCGCGGACGCCGAGCCCCGTGTCTGCTTCGTGTGCGGCGGCGCCGGCCTCGGCGACTGCTATGCTGTGCGCGTTAAGCCAGACCCACAGGTGAGGCGATACTACAAAAATCTAAAGTTATCCATACTTATATCATGAGACTTGTCACAAATGAATAGACAATATAAATTGTAAGGAGTCAAGACGGTGCATGCGGTCGGTTTGTGCGCCATTTCGCTATTCACCTATGACCTGAAGGTCGGTGGGGTCATAGGTGGTGGTGGGTAATATTATGAAGAGGAAAGATTTGTATTTTTGTATATTGAAATAACTTAAAAACTACTGGGCCGATTTCAATTCGTTCACAATGTAGCTTTTTAATGGTGAAAGAATTTCTGAAATCGGCCCAGTAGTTTTTGAGATTACATACAAAATTACAAACCTTTCCTCTTTATAATATTCAATATAAACATAGTAATCGTGCTACGAAAAGAGTTTGGTCACATGGGTCAAGGAAGATCCTAACAGCTAGTGAGGCAACCCTGTCGTTATCCACGATTGTCTTAAATAAATAAGGACATCATGGACTGCTAATACTAATGCTACTGATACGTTTCGCGTCATATGTTTCTAAAAGGTATATCCATATTAGAAAAAATTGTGTCCTTGGTTGTCAGTATAACATGGTCACCGTGCTACAACAATGTAGCGCACTCCAAACAAGCAGTGCAAATATCCGGCGTGTGATTGTAGCCGGTCTCAACCGGCTTGCGATTGTATGCGTTAAACGATTGACTCCCGCAATGGACCGTTGACTTGTCCAGGGTTGGCAATACGATAAAAATTATGACGATAATTGAGTACCTCTTTTTGATTCATAGGAATTATCAAGTTTGATAAAAAATGCTAGAAAGGAGGCCATGGAAATAGACCAAAAGCTACTATTAAGTGTGGATGATATTAAAACATGAACAAATTAGAGAGTTAGTAACTAATTTATCTAGTCAATTTTATGTAAACTAAATGAAATTTTAATATCGATGTCAAATATCGAATATTGATTTCGTAATAGTAACCATGGAAAACTTTTCGAAGTGAATTTCCCATGTTTAGTCATTGTTATGTGAAGCCATATGTACATAAATAAATACAAATGCATTACATTCTCACAGTGTCTTAGTCCCTGGTTGTAATGTGCGTAAAATATTGATGTTAAATTGGCCATCTATTACAATGAGATCGCACCTTTATCTCTCCCGCTCTACACGATTGGCCTTAGAAAAGGGCTTAGAAATTTGGAATCTTGCGTCACTAGATTACTGTTATTACGTAGATTACTAAGTGAATACTTTTGGTAATACAGTAAAACCTCGATAACTCAAACCTCGGTAACTTAAAACCCTCTATAACTGCAAAAAAATAATATGTTACCATCCTATCAGAGCCCAAAACCTCTATTACATAGACCTTTGAAAACCTCTATAACTTAAAATATTTTGTGTTTCCCTTGGACTTTAACTAATCGAGGTTCTACTGTAGTTTGAAGACCAGGAGCGAACGGAAGTTTTTAATTTTCCAATTTCACGCGGACGAAGTCGCAAGCAACAGCTTGTAATAAATAAAGAAAGATATTTTTATATGATGTTTTTCAATGGAAAACTACAAAGTATTTTTCGGAGATATTGTGTTCAGAAAGTATTTCCAATTGCTTTTATAGGAAACTGTGGTGTAGTATTCTGTTTCTTTATATTTGCTTAAAGATATATACGTAGAAAAGAATTGTTTGTGAGTGTACTATTTGTAATCCCGTATGAAAAGAATTCATCGACATGCCATGGATTTGACCGTTAGATTGTGTATCTTATATTGCTTTCAAGCTATTCAATTCTTTATGTTCGATGTAAATTGCCTATTAACTGGAAAAATAGTGCAAATTATGGACATTTAAAAGAGAACTTACTATTTACTAATCGGATGAAAACAATTGACTATACGTTTGTTATTTGTTAGATTAATCTATTTCACTTTGATAGCTGAAATCAATGTTCTATCTTAAAACATATTTTGGCTATTCGGTGCACAGTTAACGAATCATTATTGTACCGTTTTATACATCAGTAAAATGTTTTCGGATCGACCTCAAAGATTGAATATTAATTTCAGCTGTTAAATAAATAAAATAAATAAATAAAAACTCTTTATTAGACAAAAAAAAATTCTAAAAAATCCATGGGGGCTCTGTCTCCTGAACTAATTATAACAACTGTGTTTCAGGAGACAGGCCCTTCTCTTATGAATTATCATATTTAATTAAGTATTAACTGATGACGTATTTAGCTTATCCAAGTATTAAAATATTTGGATAAGCTAAATACGTCATCAATTTCCGTAAACAACCAACATTTGTGTATGTTTATAGAACTGTAACAAACTTGTTACGGCAAAACTTGTTGAAGTTTGTTAGCAATTAGTGAGCACACTAAACTTTACGTGCGGGTTCCAACTGCAAGTTTCATCAAGTTGGTCACACGTTTGTTTCAAACAATTATGGCCGTTGCTCACCCGTTGTCGTAGGTTAGTTACTTATGCAACAATGAAACGCTTCAACTGTATTACCTTCAATCTTAAACCGAGATCCTTGAACTATATTTGCTTATCCATGGTATTTTTAGATCGAAATCAAGGACTAAGCTGACGTAACCATGTGTGTTTGTCGCATTATTTGACATTTTTCAAACATTGCGTTACTAATATTTCCTTTAATCATTCCAACTAAGCTCTAGGCTTGCTAGGATATGGTTCACAACAGTCGAATAGCGGGATTCGAACCCTTGACCGCAAGATCGGTAGTCTGTACCCCAAACCATTAGGCTATTGGCGCTTTGGCCACTGGTCTTTGTACATTGGACGTCGCGTTTGTCACTATATGATTCTGTTCTTTTGATCACCAGAGCTCGGAACCGTACTTCCCGTTCCTGGGTGCTCACCCTCCGCCTGCCGGGTACCAGGCGGATGGTGACGAGGAGGGCACGGTGCGCTGCTGTTGCGTCTGCTACACCTTCCTCCGTCAACAATGGGAGCAGTACGACCGCGAGAATAAACCTCACTCGCAACGGTTTTATTGGATGAAGCGGTTAGACGGGAAACCTTTCATTGGTGAGTACGTTTTGTGAATCCAAAAGAATTGTATTCTTACCAAGATTGGGAATTTAAAAAGACCAATGATATTCTCTTGAATAAAATATTGAATTGATCAATATGACAACGCAATTATAGAAGTTATATTCTGTAGGTAGAGTACAATTTTGTGCTATACTAAGTAACATCTTGCTAGTTATACCTAAATAAAGAAGATGAACCAAGATGTAATGTAGAATTGAAATAACAAAGGGTTTCGTCTCACAGATGGTCAAATAGCGCTAAGAGTTAGCACCTTTACAGCGTTTTACTATGACAAAAGTTTGGGCGACGACTGTTAAAAGAAATTACACTATTCAGTCTAATATGGTTATGCCCAGTTTTATTGCAAGTCGTAAATATACATTCCTTTTGCAAATGCACGATATGTCCCCGGGGCTCGATAACAGACTAAAGCACGTCACTATACCCTCCCGATGCCCTGTCTCGCGGGATTACCCCGCCTAGCGTAACGGACGGGATTCACGCTTATCGATATCGATATCGATACTATAAAGTTTTCCATCCCTAGACTTTTATTGGCACCTCCAATGTTTCATTTCAAACTTTTCTTGTAGTAGTATAATACAATTCTCTTGGTATTGAATGATTGTAAAGTTTTTTTTACGCAAAGAAATGAAGTACCGATATATTGAAACATGACGAGTTGTAAGATATTTTCTCCGGGAGTTTTTAAAACCGATAATCACACTCCTGGGTATTGAAAGCCCTTATTTCTGTATGTATTTCTCATATGCCACCCTCTTTATGTAAGTTACATTTACGAAACAGGAAAATTTCTAAGGGATTACTAGTAGATAGGGATCAGTAGTAGTTAGCCTTTTCATATATGGTATTTTGAAAATTCAAATTCGGGTCTTAAACAAATCTAAAGGCCAAATATTAAAACGACCTTCAAACATGTAACAGCGTCTTAAATGATGACTATATTTTTAAATTTTGTCTTCTGAAAGATTGTAAGCGGCCCTTACGTAGTTGTTTGTGATTCGTTTCAGAATTCGACCCGAAGTCTACTGAAATATCAATTTTGATATATTTAAACGTGACAGTATAATATTTAATACTGGCAGCTGTTTAGACAGGCAAGATGTTCCGATACGAATAGTTTTATGTGTTTTGGTTTGATGACTTTAATAGTCGGATATATTATGCCACTGTTGAGACGCTGATGGTCTTTTAATTGAACATTAAAAGTATTTCTGCTGTTTGGTATAAATTATTTTAAGAAGCTTTTGTTGCTCTTGGATACACGAGACATTTTTTTAAAGTATCAGTAGTTCTTTGAAAATGTACCATGATTTGATTTACCAATTCAAGTAAACTATAGGATTGTGTCAGGATATGGTTTACGACAATAGTCGAACGGCGGGTTTCGAACCCTCGACCACGTGATCGGAAATCTGTACCCCTAAACCAGTGTTTCTCAAAGTGGGCGATAACGCCTGAGGGGCGTTATAGGGCCCCAGAAAAAATTAGGTAATGTTTATATAGTATTTTGAATTTCACTAAAACTGTATAAAAATGGGAGGCGCTGATCATTGATTTTCAAAGGGGGCGGTAAAAGAAATAAGTTTAATATACACTACCCTAAACATTAGACTATTGGCGCTTTTTATATATTATGCATATTCGCTATTATGTACTGTTAAAAATAGTTAAGAACGCAACCATAATGTTTTTAGTGGCAACACTTTTTGTAACTTCCTCTTCCATCTTGTATTCACTGACTATACGCCGTGCATTTTCTCAAGCCATCGTTTGATTTATTTCCACCATCATCCACATAATATATCAACATGTACTAATAGCTGCTTATGTACCTTTGGTAGGAATGTTATTTTAGTGGAATTATACGAATGGGCCGGCACGCCAGGTGTAATACCACGACCACACAGAAGACAGGCGTGAAATGGTAGCAATTCCGTGTTTCGTCTGATGAGTGTGGTGCCGGAGGCCTAATTTAAGTCCCTTTCCCTTTACCACCCTTTTCTTATAAGGAGAGGATGGGAAGGGGAAGTGGATTTGACGGTGGAGGAGATGCATATGAAGGGGAAATATCCTCTTTATATGCGTCTCCTCCTCCGTCGTATAAGGGTAGGCAACGCATCTGCAATTGCGGGATGTCTATGGGCAGCGGTCGCTTCGCCATTTTGGCGGATTCAGGTGGCCGCTTGCTCGTTTGCCACCTTATGCTATAAAAAAAAAAGAATACACTTTTAGACTAAAGTAATTTTTCGCTGATTGACCTGTAGAGTTAACGAGTTCGACCTGTTATACTAATTAGCATTTTAAAATGACCCATTGACGGTCAAATGTTAACTAGTGTAAAGGCACTTTCAGTTTAAACTGAACAGTCTGAATGTACAGTTAAATTGTAATAATTTAGGTACAATTTAAACTGCTACAGTTTCTCAGTTTTATAAGTACTACATATGACGTTTTAATGATAGTAATTGCTGGATATAGGATTTGAAACCAGAGGACCTATCAAGAATGTTTGTGTGAACGTTTTCAGAACAACATCGGCAAAATTTGTAGGCGTAGGTATACTAGCAAATCTTACACCTTGTCATGACGTTACGAATACTAAGAATTCATGATACACCTCTGTTCGTATTTTTTATTTACTTTTTAATTTACGATCGTAATTTTGAGAATTCTTTCAACGCTTGAAATGACGTTCTTTTTAGGTGACGGCGAAACTACGTCAGTTAACAGAATAAGTATTATATAGAAGGGACAGAAGTTTGTAAGTCTCTGGCTAATGATATCGGCTATTGACACCGTTGTTTTGTTTACATCGCTGGTCTTATTTGACTGTTTGAATGACGAGTTTACATTATGCCACTTAGCGCACGCAATGTAATGTTTACTCTACGGAGTTTTAATCGTAACGATTGTTTGTTTTGAAGAAGATTATAACGGATAAATGCACCTTTGTTTTATAAATATTTCACTGCTGACAAGCTGTATTTACAATTTAAATATGTACAAAAAATATTGGTTGCTAAAGCAATCCATAAAGAGCTTTTAAAGGATCAAACAGTTGTCTTTAGTATATTAATAGATTGGTTTTAATACTGGATCACACATTAACCTGATCGCTTTATGTAATGCAAGTTTTGGTCCTGAAAAAGACGAATCACTTCAACTCAGTCATATTTGTTAAAGAAATGCAAACAAAACGCCCCGTGCCTCAAATCACGTACAAATATCACGTATAGCGCATCACAACCGGTTCGAACCGATTCACTCCGATTCGCAGTTAGCCGAATTTAAATATCAATTGCTCTATACATTAACGTTGCCGAACGTATTAGCCGGTTCCATCCGGTTATGGTACAATGTGCGCTTGACATGTAATGATAACATTAAAATAAACCTAGTTTAACATACGGTCAGTGAAACGCTTTTTTTTTATAATATAAGGTGGCAATCGAGCAAGCGGCCACCGAAATCCACCGAAATGGAAAGCGACCGCTGCCTATCTGCAATTGTAGATGCGTTGCCTACCCTTAGTTGACAGAGGAGACGCACATAAAGACATTTCCCCCTTCTATGCGCATCCTTCATCGTCATATCCACTATTCCTTCCCATCCATACCTCGAGAAAAAGGTGGAAAGGGAAAGGGATTAAAGATAGGCCTCCGGCTTGATGTTTTGATTCTTGATGAATGTTTGCTGATTGTTGCCAAATAGATTATCGTGATACTGTCTAAATATTTATATACTACAATACCCTAGAAGACAAGAGTTTATCCCTTCGCCTATTCTATTCCTTTCAGTAGTAGTATTAATGATCTTTACCTTTTAGTTCCTACATCTTACTTAATCGATACATAAGTGGTATGGGCCTATGGGCATCGCCAGATGATCAAGGAACTTAGTAAAAATCACGTTAAAAAAAGTAATATCACTGTTGTTTTATTTTATATTAAAACAAAAAAGCTGTTTATTTTTCAATTTATCGGCAATCAGTCTTCGACACGCCCGATGTGGCACGGATTAAGGTAAATTGTAAATCCGTCTGCGGCGGGTTTTTTCCCGTCTCTCCCGAGTAAGCCAGTAATTATGTACAGGTGGTCAAATAATAAGAATTTTTCCTCAATACAGCTCTGTTTAAAGGAAAATTATTAATACGGAGAATTGATTGATTCCTATAGTTAATTTAACAAATACGCACACTGTATTATATTTATTATAAATAATTAATCTTTTTTGCAAGCTTATTGTTCTTAGACTGTCTGGTCATACTTAAAATTATTACTAATCTGAAGTGTGAAGTCAACCAACCGCACTTGGCCAGCGTGGTTGACTATGGCCTAATCACCCTGTATTAGAGTAGGCTCCGAGCCCCTCGGTGGGGACGTAGCTGGTGATGATGATGATGATGATGATGATGAAAATCTAAAAAGTTGCAAACGTCACACAGTCGTAAAGAGCGTGCGCACACCTTTGAATAAACTATCGCACAAATGTTTAGTCTCGATTTGATTCCTATAAGCGTATATAGAAACAATAAAATAAAATTATGAAAATTATATTTTTTTGTTTACATTTGGCAAATTATCAATAGCAAATGTCAAAATGACATGACATGACAAACCTTAGCAATCTTGCATTCTTGATGTTGGCAGCAACTTATGGTCTCTTTCCCACATTAGGGTTTTTATCCAAAATATATACCCCCTAAGTTTAATGGCGTGAAAATATATAGCTTAAAGCGTGACGTAAGTGTAGGACTTTTTATTAAAAAAATAATTATTTAAAAATATGCTGTAATTGCTGACATCTTAGGTAACAAAAAGGTGTGTGTTTACGCTTTATTATAATAGTATAGATTTACTACAGGGGTATAGTTTGTGTCAGCTCGCGGTTAGGTTTTTTCTCTGACGTCATAAATCTGATAATTGTAAATAGTACTAAGAAACGTCCAGTTTTGCAATTCATGTTTCTCGAATATATTATATTTTGATTGATGATTATTCAATGGTAGGTTTTTTTCTTAATAATTCACTTATGTACTTCTACTTCACTATTCTTTGGTCACGATTATGTACTTCCCCTATCAATATACGATAATTTATATCCTATTTTCTTGGTATATATACCTTTAAACTGTAATTAAAATGTGTTTTTTAACTATTGTGTTTTTACCTTTAAAAACATTGTTACTTAAGATCAATGAAATATCTCGGTAATTTGTTGTACAATTTAACTTACATTGTAACTTTATGTAAACGACGTTACAAGCTATAAACAAACAACATAAAACGGTCCATAAAATAGACATAGGTACAAACGTCGCAATGTTTAGAATTATTATCTTAATGATGTTATAAATGCGAAAGTTTAGATGGATGTGTGGATGTTTGTTGAAGTTTGTAGCTTAAAAGGCTGAGTAGATTTTGATGAAATTTGGTACAGATGTAGATATGATAGATTGGAAGAACACAGGCCACTCACATTTGTATTTTTTAATTCCATTAAAAGCTAGTATTCTATAGTCCTAAACTTTCATTTTTCTGATGTCCTGTTTATTCAATTGCTAGAAGTCACTGTTCGTGAATGTGACAACTAACGAAACTTGTACAAAAACATGTTAATTCCTTTTAACCGAGACAGGAGACATGACAGCAGTCCATTTATATTAACAACATTAAAGCATTACCCATATGCATTTCCAGGCGCGGATATGTCGTTCCAAGGAGAGTACGCGGCGCAAGTATTAGGACTCGGTGCTGAGACGGGCGCTAACAGAGAAGAATCAGGCAACCCGGCCACACCGGGCGCGACCGCAGCGCCCCGTGCCGCAGAGCCTCCGCCCCCGACGACTGTACCCACGCCAACACCTACCACCACGCCGAGGCCTAAAGATGTAGATACCAATCATAATGCCAAGTTTAACAATGTAAGTCATTAGAGAAAATAACATGATTTTTATGTATGTAAGCTTTAGCCCCGACTCCGTCCGCACGGAAATAAAAACAATAGTAAGTAGACTGTGTGTTCTTATAGACTATGTTCTATATTTGTGCCAAATTTCATCAAAATCCGTTAATTTCTTTTGAAGATAATTAAAAAAATATTCAGCCATTCATCAATTCGTGCGCAGATAAAATGCATAAAACATATGAGATTTTGTTCTGTACAATTTTGGCTTGACAATCCGACCCTATTACTATTAACCGAAAAAAAAAAATATC